CGCATGAGACGGTGGGACTGGCGATGCGGCTGATTTCAGAGAGACCAAGGACATTGTTTCTTTCCTTCGTTAAACCCAGCCTGGGACGAGCTGCGGAGGAGACGGGGCTCTGTGAGCCCCAGTTTGATTGCTACAATGGGGATCACCACCCAGATCGCCTCTCCACGCCCTGCAAACGTTGCCCCAACCCCCTTTCAAGTGTGATTTTCTTTTCACACTCTAAAAATGGGGCTTTTGGGGGTGCCAAGGCTGAGACCTCTGCTTCCCTCCCCGCTGAAGGTGCCTTTGCCAGTGCCATGAGCCTGCTGTTTCCCATCCCACCACTCGCCAAACTTTTTTTGCAAGGGAAAAATACGTCAGAACATATTTATTAGCAAGGCTGGGCTGGTGGAGATGCTCCCAGGATGATGCACCAGGAGAATTTTTACCGAAATCTGTATCCAAACTCTGTGTAACACAAGCTCCCGTGCTTTGGGAGGTGACTTCCCTCGTAGGGCTGGGTTCTCTTGGGGACTTCAAACCCTGCTGCTTCCTCGGCTCCTTGCTTGATTTGGTTGATCACGACTGAAGGAAGCTGTAAATTAAAGCAGCATCTCAAATAATCTGTGTTTAAAAGGGAGTTGGAGGCCGTGCAGGGGATTTTTCTCATTGCTTTTTGCCTCTTGGAGATGACGTTTGCGCTGTCTGTTGATCCTAGGGGCGATGCTTGGCTTCGCGTCCTACTACGGCGACCACATGGTGTTGCAGAAGGAGCCGGCGGGGGCCGTGGTGTGGGGCTACGGGGAGCCGGGGGCCGCGGTGACCGTGGCTCTCTCCGGGGATGGTGGCCTCGTTGTCATGAAGAAGACAGTGCAAGCTAAAGGTCAGTCCTGGACCCTCACCGGGCAACTGGGGCTGGTGGTTTTGGTGGCCGAGGAGCACATCTGAGCCCAAATCGGACCTGCTGGTGGGGTGGGGGCTGCTGTCTGCAGCCCCATCACCCCTGGGTTTGTCCCACCACTGCTCTGGGGTTGCAGAGGTGACATCTCCAGCTCCTGCCCCCCTGGGGCTGTGTTTTCCCCTTCTCTGGGAGATCTGGGAGGGAGTTCAGCTATCCCCCTCCCCACCGACGCCGGCCTTTGCTCACTTCAGTTCCCCAACAGCGGGCGCCGAGCGGGAGCCGAGCTGCCGCTGGAGTGGGTGGCACCACGTAGGCTTGAGCCGAACGATGAGGCTGCGGAGGGGAGAGGAGGGGGATTTAGCTCCTCTCCCTGACAAAACCATCTCTGGGGGAATCTCCAGAGTGCTCCTGGCTTCTTTTTTTTGATGTATCACCCCTCGGAGGATCCTGCTGGGGATCTCTAAGCCCTGAAGGATGTCGCCTCTGCAGGCAGAGCCTTCCTCGAGGCTGGGAGGGCTCAGAGGCATCTCAAATCTCATCTGGTTGTCTCATTTCCTGCCTAGTGAGTTGGGGGGCTGCTCGTCACCTTTGGGGGGGGTGAAACTGCTGCCTAAAGGGCTCCTCCACAAGCTGGAGAGCCTGGAGGCGTCTTGTGAGAAAGCAGCGATCCGCCGCTACCGGGAGATCTGCAGGATCCAGCCCCAGCCGGGCCAGAAAATCCACACTAAGCTCCAGCAGAATATCTTTACGCCTCGATTCGGCGCCTCTAAAATTAGCTGGAGACATCTCGGTGTCACACACACCAAGCTGCTCCTGTAATCCCAGTTCCTCCCAGCAGCTTCTGCTCTGACACACATTTGTCTTCGAGATTTTCTTTTTAACCCCTAAGTTCCTGCAGGAGCAGAGACCCTCTGATGGCAGAGAGCTTCCAAAATCCATTTCCCCAGCCCGGCTCCGCGGTGGGGAAGTTTCCATCCCCACCGGTTTGTTGGCCAGTCATCCCACCTCTCTGCCAAGGTCTTGAGTTCTTCATAGGGGTCGTGAAAGACGAACACCATCCTCTTCTTCCAGGACCTTCCGGGACGTGGACAACTGTCCTGGACCCTATGGATCAAGGCGGACCCTATGTGCTGACGGCCGCACAGGGCTTGGAGAACGTGACGCTGCGGGACGTCTACTTTGGGGACGTGTGGCTTTGCAGCGGGCAGAGCAACATGGCAATGACGGTCTTGCAGGTAAGCCCCCACAGCAAGGCCCGATCCTGCCAGCTCAGGCAGGGATCAGGCAGGGATCAGGCAGGGATCAGGCAGGGATCAGGCAGGGATCAGGCAGGGATCAGGCAGGGATCAGGCAGGGATCAGGCAGGGATCAGGCAGGGATCAGGCAGGGATCAGGCAGGGATCAGGCAGGGATCAGGCAGGGATCAGGCAGGGATCAGGCAGGGATCAGGCAGGGATCAGGCAGGGATCAGGCAGGGATCAGGCAGGGATCAGGCAGGGATCAGGCAGGGATCAGGCAGGGATCCAAAAAAAAAGCCTGAAAATGGCTTTTTTCCCTGCTTTTTCCCTTTGCAGCCCGCTGTTTCTTGAACAGAAAACTTGGGCCATGGGAATTTCACCTACTTCTCGGCCGTCTGCTGGCTGTTGGGACGCTACCTCTACGAGGCTCTGCGGTACCCCGTCGGGCTGGTGGAGGCGGCCTGGGGGGGCACCCCCATCGAGGCCTGGTCCTCCCGCAGGGCTCTGCGGGCGTGCGGGCTCCCGGAGGACGCGGGGAGGTGAGAGAAGATGCAATGGAAACACCTCCTGCCCCACGCCACGCCACCCTCGGGGGGCATCCTCC